TTCCAACTCTCTGCATGTGCTCTCCTTCTGTGGTACAGAGCACATCCTTTCATTCCTTCTAGCATATTTATAGGATTTCTTTCTCTTCCCTTGTGTGTTCCTAAGCCACCTCTAGCTCGTTCTGTGCCAGGACCTTCACGATTTCATGCACACATGCTTTGGTATCATTCTGTTCTCATTCTTAGTCATCTGCTGCTGCTTCAACTTTTTAAAACCAGTAATTTCTTATTTCAAGGCATTAATGAAGTCCTCACACACTTCTAAGGTTTCCCTTTTCTTCTATGCTCCCTTCTTTAGGAGTTCTTGTCATTGCACCTCTGCTTTAATCTCTAAGTCAGTGCTTGCTGGCCTGTACTCCTCTTTCCTTGACCCAATCTACCAATTCCCTGATGTTTCACAGCCAATTAATCCTTCTTCTGCTGTTCCTACTTTCTCTTTTCCATGTGTCTGGGAAGCCGATTAACTCATAGCTTGGTATACGTACTAAGGCTTTATATTCTTCCTGTTTAGCCCTTATACTCCTAGCATTTGGGCAGAGACATTTCAGATGTTTACCAGACTGCTCCGTTGTTCTCCCAAGTGTCTCATTTTCACCTCTATTAGATTTCCCATTTTCCCAGCTCACTCACCAGCACGCTGCTCGATTCTTGGAAGACCCCTGTGCTGTCAAAAAATCCAAAGCCTTTTTGTCGACACTGTCCATGCTTTCACCTTGAGGATTTGCCTGGCTCACCCGTTCCACATTCCACAGGGACTAAAAGAAACAAAACTGCCCCTAGAAAGGACCTAGCAATGGAGTAAGTGATGGGCAGTACTTTTATTCCAGAGATGGCAGATATGTGATGGAAGCGGCAATTAATCCCTCTTGTTTGCCTTCTCTAAGGATATCAAATTGTGTTGTAAATACTGGTGATTTAAGCCCCATTGTGACCTCTTTCACTGAACATAAATATTAATAGCCCCACTTCATTCCCACTTCATAGATGGGGAAACAAGCACAGAAAAGCTAAGTAATTGTTTTATAGAAATGCTAAGGCAAAGGCAGAAAACCCTGGCAGATCTGTGCATGAGCTGCTGGAGCATACACTGGAAACTGTTCAGGAAAAGCCTTCAGTCAGGCATTCAGGAACAAGGGGGCAAGAAATAGGGCTGTGATTGCAATTACATCAGCTGGTGAGTAGCCAGCCCTCAGTGCCCAGCGCTCAGTTAGCCAAAGGCTATGGTACTTTACTGGGATTGGAGTTACTGCCAGGACATCCAATGGATGATTGTTTTTAGTGGTATATCTGCCTCCCCCTCTTGCTGATCCCTGAATGAGCTATAAGCAGCTTAATCAAAGGCTAAAAAAGCTCCTGATGCCAAATAGCTGCCTCACCATCTTGCTGGAGAACCTGCTAGACTGATAGCAGGGCACTTCTTTCTGCTGCTTTCTTTCTTTTTCTCTACCTCTTTCCCTCTTGTTCAACTCCCTCATTTTTCTCCCTTCCACTTTTTAAAAGTGAAATAAAGAAGCAGAGCAAAGAAAAGAAGAGGAAAGCAGCCACAAACTGCTGCATCGACAAGAATATGCCATGGATCTTCCAGAACCTGTCTCAGGATGTGAGTCCCTGGAGAGGAAACCTAAGGCCAGAAATTACACAGGCTTAACCATCATGAAAAACACTCACAAAACACAGCGCTGAACACACAGTGCAGCGCTAAGGATACAGACTTGGCTGCTGATTATGGAGGGGGGAATACAGTGGCAGATTTATTCTACAGTAGAGAGGGTTGTTTCTTGGTAGAGCTAATACTGACACATTATCTGAGGACGGAAGAGGATGTACAAATAGGAACAATTCTCCCATTTCGCTGCCTGTGTCTCCCCTAAGTGCCCCTTACTCCTATTCTGCTCTCTTCATCCCTCTCCCTGCACCACGTCCCCTCCTTCCTCTCTTCTCATCTATTTCTTCTTTCTTTAGCCTCTCCTTCATCTTTTCCTGATGCGATTACATGCACAAGATGTTTAGTTCTCCAAGCTTTTGCATATTATCTCCAGCTGGAGCCCTGTGTCCAGCCCTCTGCCTGGAAAACCATACAAGAGTTTTCAAACACAGGGTTAAATCCTGCTCTCCCAAATACAGGTGTAAAAATTTCCACACTGTGAGGACTAGACCATGGGGCAGGAGAGGCTGATAACAACCTGCGAGGAGAGACTTCTAAACTTATCCAGCAGAGCTTAAGGAGCTGGGTAATTGTAAGAGTTTGGCCTAACAATCACAGTCACGGCACGTCACTGAAGTGGAAAGCAGTGATGGCAACTACCACTGTGCTCCTGCACAGAGTAATTCCAGCTGCCTTCTCAACTGGCACCAGCTGAAATCAGTACAGAGCAAACACCTGGGTAGTTTTACAACCTCATTTCTTCCCTTCCTTCCCCACAAAACACACACCTACTTTCACTCACACCATGAGGAATCAAAGCCTTGTTTATACCTCACATCCAAGCTGAAGATGAACAACTTGAACAACACAGAGATCAGTGGCAGAGCAAGAAATACAATCTGAGTGCCCCGAATTGGCTGCCAAACAGTCGCCCACTCATGCTTTGTGTCTCTAAGTGATGGACAGTGGATCTTGTCCAAGGACAGATTAGACGGGAGATAATGCTGTCACCTGCATCTCTGCTTTCTGGCATGAAGAGATACGCAGTGGAGGACAGGGGCTGCTGCCTTCTCCCCTCCTTAATCTGCTTCCTGCTTGCTTAGAAAACAACCCAGGGCACGGTTGTTTATTATTATTATCGCTGTTATTTTCCAGAATGCTGTAAAACCAGGGGATAGAGCACTCTGACAGCCTCATAACGAACAGCAGATAAAACTAATTAGATTTTGTTCTTCCTTGAGTTTGCTGACTTGATTATTTTTATTGTTTAATTCTTTATTTTTAGCCCAGAGGTTTATACACACATGTATTTCACTAGACACTGGCAAGGCATCCTTAGGATCCTCTCTGACAGGAAAGGACTATTGTAGCCAGGGCAGGCTTGAAAGCAGCAAGAGGCTGAGACAGAGGGTGCAGTGTGAAGGCTGTGCAGCACTGCATCTTCTACCCATGTCATGTAAGCCAGAGGGGGAGGAAGGAGAGCTGAGCTATTCAGAGCACTAAGAGAGTCAGTGAGACAAAAGGCATCAGTAAAAAAAGCTAATGTGCCTGGCAGGAGCCCAAAACTGCTTTAGCAGCAGGCACTATGTGAGTGCCTCTAGGACACCATCTCTTCTGGCCATTATGGAATTATTTGGCTTATGTCTCAACCTGACAGCCTTGCTGACTCTTGAGGAATGGCCACAGTGGGGAGCAACCTCCCTCTTCCCCCTCCCTTTCTCCATCGGCTGTTTCCAAATTCTTTGGGATTAGCTAGCGAAAGCAAGAAGAGGCACTGGCCCCGCTGCTCGGCACTTAGCAGGCTGAAGTGAGGTGGTGTTGGCTCGGCGCAGGGGACAACGGCTTCATTCACTGGGGAAATACAGAACCAGAATTACAAGTGTGCAAGAATAAACAAGGCCGGAGTTAATCTAAAGTTGTTTTACACTCTGTTTTATTAAAGTCAATGCACTTCCGTTCCTCTGTGCAGAGCCTAGTTCTGCTTAATTACCATGACTCAGGGAGAATTTTAATAGCATGAGGAGCGCAGCGCACAGTGGAGGCCCTCTCCTGACCTCTAGAGGTCTGTCAAAAGAAGAAGAGCATCTACTCCCTATAGAAGTTCCTGGAAGAAACGAGGCATCCTCTGTTCCCACCTGCTCATCAGCAGGCTGAGCATCCTTGAGCTGGGGGTTTGCCTGGTCATTGGCATCTGCAGCATCCTCACCGCTTGCTGATAAGTTGTTTGGCACTAACATGGGAAGCTGCCAGGTAGAAGACTTGGCCAGACTTTTCATATTGCACAGCAGCATTTATAAAGGTATGGATGATGTGAATGGACATTTTGCTTCCAGGTTGGGTGCTTCACTTAGATCCTGGACACTGAAAACACCCTCAGGGCCTTTGCCATCTCTCTACCTCCCTATTTCCCAGCACAGGGATCTATGAAACAGTAGTACTGCTCATATACATTTGGCTCCAAACACACACAGAAGTTACATCTCTGCTTTTATTATATTAAGGCAACTCTCCAATAGTCTATTGATTCAATGAATCACAACTAGGGCACAGTTTTTCCACTGAACTTCTTCCTGGCTAAAGAAATTCAGAATGAAACAGCTAGAAGGCTGAGGCTGGCCTACAGTATTTATAGCTAAAATACTGGTGTCTCATTAAGAAAAACGCTGAATTAAGATCACTTTTCCCTTTGCAACAGGATGTACCATTGGCAAGCCCCAGTAAGCCTTGTTCAGATATTGTGGCAGGGCCTTGGAACAGAACATGTGAGAGAAAAGCAGCTCTGGATGTATACATGGGCATGTACAGACACACAAATGTACAATGGTATCTTTTGTCCTGTGTCCTGGGGATGTGCTGATTGCTGAAGATCTTACAGAACAGCCTGTGTATGCTGCAGTATAGACCTAGTACAGTGTGAGTTTCCTGTCATACATATGAATGTTGGGTTTAGAAGTGAAATATGCACAAATATGTTTTTATTGCTAAGCTTTTAAGCAATGTTATACAAACTATTATAATGGGAACTCCTGTTTTACCTCTTTTGTGTCCACCCCTGTGAGCCAATCTTTCATGAAAATTCGGTATTGTGTGCAACAAGCAGAACAGGACATCTGTACAGAGACGCGCACCATGCCTAATGAATTAGTTTGGCCTAAGAAGCTCAGCTTCTAAGGACCCAAGCTACCTGTCTTTTGAACAGCATCATAAAGAGAGAGATAGAGACACAGAGAACTCTTATGTGCTCATGAAGACTGTAAAACACCTGGATACTGAAAATCCAGGAGGACAGGAAGAAGCTATTTCTCCAAAGAGCAAGCTCCTGCTGGAAAATATGTCTAGGTAGTCTAGGGACCAGGCATTCTATCCACAAACAGCACAAAAATGAGAGGATGACATGGTGCGTTCAGTCACACATCAATATTAATAGCAGTAATCACTGGTAATGAAAGTCTTATAGGCTGTAATGCTACAACACACTACTCTTTAATCTTTTTCCTTGAGCCTCATAAAGTAGTGACAGAGCTGGGAGCCTCTTACATAGTGCAATGAGTTCCATTTGGGTTCAGGGCAATTCCCCATTTGCAGCAGCAGAGTCTGGGACACATGAGAAGTTCAGGCACTATGAGGGCTAAGATGCAGTGACGTGGGCTTCATGCATTAGGGAAGCTGGGCATCCACATGGGTTCTATTCTGTGTTGGATTCTCAGGACTCAGGATCTGTGTTTGCAGGTAATTTTAGGAGAAATCTATTTGTTTGTGTTTGTGGATCAAAGGAGAAGCTCTTCTGACTCCATTATGGAAGTCGCTGGTGTAGATGTCCTATATATAACCTACCTGTAATGTCTTCCACTATATTACTGTCCGGTACAACAGGGTCCTGTTCCATGATCTAGGTTTCTTTAGGCGTATATTAAAACTAACAAATAATAATAATCAGTCACTGGACTGATTCGTGGTCTAAATTCACTTCTGGATATTGCCACTGTCACTCATCGATTGACAGAATATTGGAGGACCTCTGGCTACCTCAAGAGCACGTTCTCCTCCTTAAAATGCACCAAATCCCTCTCCCTCCCAATAGCTTTAAATAGTAGCTCCAGTTCCCCAGGATGAACGGCTCTATCTGTAGTCTTTTAGCTGGAAGGATGTCTCACAGAGAAAATAAAATTTCACAGCATCTGTGAAATAAATCCTACACTTGGGCCCATCAGTTCAAGCATGAAGTGACTCAACTGAGGTTATGCTGGACTAGTTTATTCCAGTGCAGCAAAGAAGAGAATTTAGCCCACAGTTCCAGAGGACCACCCTGCATTGTTTCTGGTGCTTTCCTTACTGTGGCACATTGGATTTCCTACTGTTGCTTAGACAGAACCAGCTCAGACGCATGCACAGCCTGGCTCAACCTGCTGAACACACTGCAAAAATGCTGATCAGACAGAATCAGATACATGCTCTATACATCAAGAGAAATGCATGGCAATGGAGACCTCTGGCTAAAGGCAGTTGTAACTATCTCTCTTCCAGGCAAAGGATGTTTCCTATAATCAAAGCCTAAACTAGGAAAACAAGAATATTTTCCTTAGTCTCAGAATACCATTCCTCAGGTCAATCTATATGAAATCCCACACTAGAGGCAGCTGGGAAACTGGGGATTATATTTAGGAATGAATGGTGTTCTCACATAGTACCACTGGGGCCAGTGGCCCCTCACTCTGCCTTGTATACAAACCATAAGGAGTCATTCTCAATATATGTATATTCTCAAAATATGCATACAAGTTACACAAACATAGAGTCAATTTTCTATTCAGAACTGGAGGAACACTGAAGCTGGCAAACAGGCAAACACAAGCAGTAACCCATTTGCTTAATGCTCTGCAAGTCAAAGTCTTGTTCACACAGGACTGCTCTCAAACCCACTGTACACCCCAAGTGCTGCTGAATGCAGAGGGAGACCCGCATTGTTGGTTGCTGGTTGGTTGGAAACATAGAGCTGCCTGAGAGCCTTGGAGCTGCAAGTCTGTCCCATGGTCACTTCATCATCTTCTGTCTTTCCTTCCACCCATGAGAGGTACTCCTGGATCTCTTGGTCTAGCTCTGAGAAGTCCTCTTCACCATCAGAGCAGCTGTCAGCATTATAATCGATTTCTTCCGCACAAGGAGGTTCATCATCAATCTCTTGGCTGCTGTTGCTGCAGCTTCTGCAGAAAAATCACAAGAGAGACTGGACGTCATCAAAAGAGGGTTTGTTCTCTAGGGGTAAGAGCAAATAACAAGGAAATGTGTTTCCTGGGTTCAATCCTGGCTCTGCTAATAAGATATGAGATGGCACCAAACAAGATTTTGTATGTCTTTGTGTCTGTTTCACCACCTGTAAAATGAAGAGTGATCCTTACCTACCTCACAGGAGAAACACATTATGATTGTTATCACTATTATTGTTATTGCTTATACAGAAACAGAGTGCTTGATATACAGACAACACCGTTCTTGCCTTGAGGCACTTACAAGGTTATAGAAGTTGAAATATAGTAGAAGAGGAGGTATACATTTTGCAGAAGGTTGCTGGTTTAATCATCATCCACCTCACTGTAGTTCCACATTTAGTGTAAGACCTAATTAATCCAGGTGGTTGAAGTGCTTTGGCATCTTTTCCTCCTGTTCTGTGCAATCTCAGGGCACTGCTAACAAGAGGCAGCACAAACAAAAACTGGAGGCTTTGGGGTCTTCGAGCACACTGGCTCCAAGGAGGGCAGGAATACCAGGAGTGTTGTGTTTTAGAAGGAGCATGGAAAGGCTTTAACAGCACGACTTCCTGGGCAAGAGCCAAATTCAGAGGCAAATCTGAATGGCTGAGGAGAAACTCTAAATGGATGTGCCTGTCACGTTGTCTGGCTCTCAGAGGGCACGTTACCCCACCACAGCCTCCTGCCCTTTGGTTACAGGAATGGTCATCGGCTTTCTTTACATGTCCACTTCCAATACATACTGTATTACATCAGCAATGCAATATTTAAGGCAGAAATGTAACCGCTAGACTAGATGGCTCTGGGGGACAGGGTCTTTCTCCTGCCTGGCTGCCTCGTTCCCATTTGGCCTTAGCCCAGGAGGGCAGCTGCATAATTTTTCTGAGCCCAGAAAGAAGCCTGTGGTTTCAGTGCTGCCTGGGTCAGAGTCCGGATGAATCAGGGGGACAGATAGTGTGTTTTTTCCCCTCCAGGTCAATGTTTTCAATCAGAATCAAAGCAGGGGAATGTATTGCTTTGGGGGACTGGGAAAGGAATAATAATCTTCCACCTCTGGGCCAGTTTGTAATTTGTCCCAAGTTGGGAAGAATGAACGGCTTGGCAGATGGAGCATACACAGCTTTAATGTGTGGTCTGCTCATTTACATGTCAGTAACCAGAATAATCTTCCAGCTCTCAGCTGTTTCACAGCAGTGCCAGCATCTGAGGTTTCAGAACATACCAAAGGTGTAAAGTATTGTCTCCGAATGTATTGATCCCTTCTGTCTTCTGCACTCCAAAAAAAAGGCAAAAGCTTTTCCCAGCTTTGAGACTCCGTATCTTAACTGTATACAGACTACCCTGCAAGCAGAAACAAGCGGCGTCAACCCACTTCTTCTCTGGCTGATCTCTGGCTTAGTTTACTTCAAAGGCTGGGTATAAAGGATTCTCTGAAAGCTTAATAGAGCTGTAGAGCTTAAAAATAAATAAAAGAATAATTATGCACTTTTACAGTTTCTGGCTGTCCTTCAGTCTGCTCAGAAATCTGGGTCAGGAAGAACTCATTCTGAAATTGAGTATGTGACATGAAACAAAACAAACCAGGACAATCCTCCCAGCACAAACAGCAGCAAGCAGTGGTCTCTGCTCAAGAGGGCTTGATATTTTCTTAGTTTTTCATATGCAGGCATGGCCTGAATTACAAAGATAACAAGTACCTGTGATAATGTTGAAAGCTGACTAAACTCAGGGGAACTAGATTTCTCATTTATAAGCTCTGTTCTTGTAGCTTTGCAGTCAAAAAGAACCAAAGCGTAGCTACTTTCAATATTGCACTTGTATGTTTGGGAAGAGCTGCTAATGCCATGGGGACGAAGCATAGCTGCCAGCCAGCTCACTGATACTTTACAGATGGAATGATCCAGTTTGCAGCCTAGGAACTGAAGGTCAAGCATTGCATAAACAGGATCACAATTTAAAAGAACAATTCCCTATCATTATTTAAAGCTGGGAAACTCAATAAGAGGACCTTCTGAATTTTTTGATAACTTCAATGATTTTAGAAATGGATTTCTGACAAAAAGGGTGAAACAACTCCTAGCACAAACCACTTTACAATGGAAGACAACAGAGAATGAAAAATAAAAACATACAAAACTGCCATTTCTTTACATTGAAGCCTGAAGAGACTGTCCTTAGGATGAAAGTATTTATGCATAAAACCTTTGTGATGGACTTCAAAAGCTCTTCCTTACTGCCTACACACATAGTACACAAACCACCAAGACTGTGACAGCTCAATACTTGGACAGACAGACTGCAGAGAGAGGTTCCCCACAAGTGAGGCTGTGCCTACACCATGTTTAGAGGTCAGGAAAAAATACTTTTTCCTACTTTGTTCTGCCCTTTGCTGTGACAGTGAACAAGCAAGTCAGTTAGCACTGACCTTAGTAGTGGTTTCTCCAGTTTGGGCCGATACCCACTGGATCAACACCACCACCACAAATCACATCATGAGCTATCAAACAGGAAATAGATGGAACCAATTTCCTGCCATTACCAACACAGGTTCTAATCACAGTGGTGACTTAAAAGTTGAAAGGCTCTATATCACACTACCAAACTCTACAAAACAGCTATATCTCTACTGTACAGAAATTTCCATCCCAGTAATACACTTGCTGCTGCAGGAGGATTTAAAACCCAGGGCAAAGCAAGACAAGAGGGCTAGTTTAAACCATCATTTTAGAGGTTCTTCTGAGAAGAGGAGGGGTGGCAGCACATGGCATGAGAAGGAGCCAGCTAGTGCTGCTAATACTGCCAAAGTCATCACATGCTGCTTCTCCCCATCAGCTGGTCTTTACCAGCTCCTTTAGGAAAGAATGCAAATGGTGAAACATGGCAATGAGCAGAAATGCCAACATCTGGACTATTGCATGTCACTGCTGAGACTGCAGCTTGCTTTCTTTTCCAACAGAGTGCTGTGGGCTTTTTTGTTGGGGCAGGCTCTTGGTATTTTTGCTTGCTTATTTATTTTTCAATCTGGTTTTTAAAAACTGCAAAAGAACCCCCCTAATTCTCCAAAAAACAGAAAATAAAGAAACCAAAAATAAAAGAACCCGGGGGCCACAAAACAGATTTATCAAAGAATAATGATGTTGTCTTACAGAAGGTAAACAGTGAGGAAAACCAATGGCATTACATTACAGAACTCCAAGACAAATACAGTCTATGATACCATGAACGTGAACGCAGTACAGAAGAGGGGGAGGGAAGGCTGTGATATATCTCTAGCCAACAGTCCCCCAGCTATCACAATAAAACATGTACACATGTTGGTTGCTCTACTAATTCAAAACCTACAGCCTCATAGACCTCATCTATTCCAGCCCGGGGAAGCCACAACAGCAATTTGCAACTTTACGATGTGATAAATAGAATTTCTTTGTTTTGATTTTTAATTTGCATATTTATTGAGATATGACTTGATCTTAATTAGTTCTCCTGTTCTATGTGGGTGTGCTTGTTTGCTTGCTTTTGGAAAGCAAGCAAGCTTTGGTACTCTTCGAAATAATTCTGGAGCTTTTTCTGACTTAACATGAGAGAAGCAGAAGGGAGCCCAGCCCGTCCTTATACATCAGAATAACTGAAGCTTTCTGACATGACTGGAAAATACTTATTTCAGATACTTCATGCAAACCCTCTTTTAAGTCAACCTGTTTGTTAGGTCACAGCTGGATAGAAACCCCTCCAGCCAGCTGCCCCACTGAGCTGCACATAAGAGCCTATAGTGGTGGTTAATAGGTTATAGCTACATGGTGTACATGAGGATGGCTGGTGATCCACCTCTCCTCCATATATAATTCTTCACTCATGCATTTGCTTCCAAATCACGGAATAAAACTAAAGGTTTCCTAAATAAATTCCTGAGGTTTTCCACTCACAGTTTGCTTGTGTAGCAGGTCACACGCCCTCTGTATTCTACTGACTGGCTCAAAATAGAATGGGTTTTATTTTTCCAGCTGGAAAGAAAAGGCACTGACAACTGTCCCTCTTAGGGAATCTGTGACTATTGTTCAGGGCTGCTGCTTGACCTTCACTTGACAGGCCTTGCAGTTGCAGTGTGTTAGGGGAGGAAGTGGAGCATTTACTTTATTTTCATGTTGTTCCTCTCACTCTTGTGAAATTTGCTGCAGTTTTGTGAGAGTGAAATGGGAAGTGAGTGGTTAAATCCTTCATATAAAAAGGAGGAAAAAGCTAAGTCTGGGGACCACTGCTGGTCATGGGCATACCAATGACCCCCTGTGAAGAAAACAAACATCTCTCTGCAATGAAAAATAACATCCCAGTAGCTGCATAATCACCCTGTCAAGTAACCCTATTTTCTCCTTTCCTTAAATCTTCTTTACATTATGATATGTCCCAATCCTTTGGAAACTGCCCAAGGCACGGGATGTGGCTATGTATGATGAGCCAAACATGTCTCTGATACAGTTCACAGAGTAAAGAAGGCAGGAAATGGCTTTCTTGAAAATTTTCAAGATATCAGACATTTCCCTCTGAGAAAACAGACAAAAGATTTATGTCCGACCTAAACCAGCCAAGTTCTCAGCAATTACAGCATTCACCTAAAAGAAGGGTGCACTTCTTCTCCACTCAAGCGGGAGCTGGAGACTCCAGCAAGTTCCCTGACTACGGCTATCACTTGAGTAGAAGGGATACCATAGAATCACAGAATGGTTTGGGTTGGAAAGGACCTTAAGATCATTCAGTTCCAACCCCCTGCCAGGGGCAGGGATGCCTTACACTAAACCATGTCACCCAAGGCTCTGTCTAACCTGTCCTTGAACACTGCCAGGGATGGAGCATTTACCACTTCTCTGGGCAACCTGTGCCAGCACCTCACCACCCTCACAGTAAAGAACTTCTTCATTTTATGTAACATGAACTTCCCCTGTTTAAGTTTAAACCTATTA